ACACACCAACACACCAACACACCAACACACCAACACACCAACACACCAACACACCAACACACCAACACACTAACACACGCAACACACCAACACACCAACACACCAACACACCAACACACACCAACACACACCAACACACACCAACACACACCAACACACACCAAAACACACCAACACACACCAACACACAATAACACACACCAACACACACCAACACACACCAACACACACCAACACACACCAACACACACCAACACACACCAACACACACCAACACACACCAACACACCCCAACACACGCCAACACACCCCAACACACCCCAACACACCCCAGCAAACCCCAGCACACCCCAACACACCCCAACACACCCCAACACACCCCAACACACCCCAACACACCCCAACACACCCCAACACACCCCAACTCACCCCAACACACCCCAGCAACCCCCAACACACCCCAGCACACCCCAACTCACCCCAACACACCCCAGCAAACCCCAACAAACCCCAACACACCCCAACACACCCTAGCAAACCCCAACACACCCCAACACACCCCAACACACCACAACACACAACACAACCCAACACAACGCAACACAACACAACACAACACACACACACACTCTCACACACACTCACACACTCACACACTCACACACTCGCGCACACACACACTCACAAAAATACACACACTCACACACTCGTGCACACACAGACACACACACAAACAGAGACACAGAGACACACAGAGACACACAGAGACACACAGAGACACACAAACACACAGAGACACACAGAGACACACAGAGACACACAGAGACACACAGAGACACACAGAGAGACACACAGACACACAGAGACACACACACACAGACACACAGACACACACACACACAGACACACAGACACACACACACACAGACACACAGACACACACAGACACACACAGACACACACAGACACACACAGACACACACACACAGACACACACAGACACAAACACACACACACACACAGACACACACAGACACACACAGACACACACACACACAGACACACACACACAGACACACACACAGACACACACACACAGAGAGACACACACAGAGACACAGACACACAGAGACACACAACACACACACAGAGACACACACACACAGAGACACACACAGAGACACACACAGAGACACACAGAGAGACACACACACACAGACAACACACACACACACAGACACACACACAGACACACACACACACACACAGCCACACACACACAGACACACACACACAGATACACACACACACACAGACACACACACAGACACACACACACACAGTCGCACACAGTCACACACAGTCACACACAGTCGCACACAGTCACACACAGTCACACACAGTCACACACAGTCACACACAGTGACGCACAGTGACACACAGTGACACACAGTGACACACAGTGACACACAGTGACACACAGTGACACACAGTGACACACAGTGACACACAGTGACACACAGTGACACACACACACACAGACACGGACACGGACACCCAAGCACAGACACAGACATACAGTCACACAAACACGGAGACACACAGACACACAGACACACAGATGCACAGACACACAGACGCGCAGACGCACAGACACAGACACACGGACACACGGACACACAGACACACAACCCTCCCTCAGACCTCCCCACCCAGCCCACCCAACGAGAGTCACCCACCCCACCCACCCCACTCACCCCCACCCCGCCGCTTGGCTGGCTTGCTGCTTGAAATCACTGGCTGCAGCTATTGTGCCGCGGCAGGCATGGCCGGGCTCACGTCAAAGCTCCATATCAGAGGCTGGGTATTCGTATGAACATGGATGGACATTCCATTCGCTTGGGATTCGTTGTGCCCTAATGTGTCCCATGCTCGCCCATTGTGTGGCAGATGTTGAACAAAACCGATCGCAGTCCGTCGTTCAGGCACGACGCAGGCCCCCAGAGGCGGGAGGGGGTCGCTGCTTCTATGGACTTTTGGCTTGGCCGGTGACCATGGATAGTGTTAGAAGGCAGCCACCACACGTACCGCGTTGTTATGGGCATCATCAGCCGGGATCATGCCCCAATCCGTAGTACCATTGCAAGTGCCACAAATTATTGGCACTCGCGATGCTGTACTAAAGCTTTCATGGATTCCCGTTCTGCAACTCTTCAAGGAGGTAGTTTGCAAGCTAATGGCAAAGTGCACACAGGCATGTGTTTGTAGGATTCGGAGCCCCCAAAATGGATTCGGTTTCACTTTTGGTTTCCATCAAAGTCAGGCAAAAGAGGGTCCCACAAGAAAAGACAAATCCTCCATAGGACATTCAATACGTTTCTGAGGAAGGTGCCGTGGCATGGCGTTCTTGGCAATGCCTTTGCAAAGCTAGGCTGACTCTCGGAGAACATCACTGCGATCAGTGCGCAAGGCAGGGTAACTGTCGGGAATGACCAATCGGAGCAACCACGCAACAGCGCGTTGGCATGCGTCTCTTTTGCACCAGCCAACTCTACTATCTCTTCACTGCAAGTTGTTTTGCTGCTTTTTGGTTTTTTGGTGCTCTTGGTTTGTAGTAGGGATGACTGCGACGACTGAACTTGAAGGAACAGGGACGACCACGCGACACACCACTAAAACAACTGCAGACTCCAAATGGCAAGGGGGGTCAAAGGGCGCGCAGAGAAACATGGAACATATGGGCCCCCCCCAAAAAGCCACGAAGTTTTAGAAGGGAACCGGTTCCCTAAACCCCACGGCCCACCGGCCCATAGACGGGAATCCCCCAAAACCACCGGCCCATTGGTTGGGACTGGGTCCGAAGAATGGCCCCTGGAATCTGAACTCTAGGCCTCAGTGACCTCCGCAGACGCCTCCAATGAGGCGGGGAGATGTTTTTTTGTTTGGCTTGGAAGGGGACACCACAAGGACGCACCAAAATGTGGCTCCCTAGAAAAAAAAACACAGAAGAGGCGTTTTTTAGCGAAAATGGGGCAACCTCCCTAGAAAAAAAAAGAGAAGAGGAGGGTTTTTGGCGATTTTTTTTTCTGTTGCCGGGGTCTTGCTTTCAAAAAGGAGAGAGAGAGAGAGATGTTGGCCATGAAAGTGTGCCCTTTGATTTTTCTTCATACTTTTGGGTATATGATACCCCGAAAGAAACCTACATATATATATATATTTACACACAGATACCAAGTTCTGACTCGGGCTTTCAGTTCGTCGAGACGGACAGTTTGGTTACTTGAGTTACTCATTGCCCGTGATGGATCCTGAACTCAGATGGAAGTCGCTGTGCATGGTACCTTGAGCACAACGGCATGCCGAGCCGAGACACGTCGGGCAATCTCGGGCTACTAGGCCTCCTCTGTCTCGGAGAGCATGATGTCCAAGGACTATCCCAAAGCGGAGGCGAGAGCATGGGACTCATGGGACTCATGGGACTCGTGGGACCATGTTCTTTTGGGGCTTCCAATCTGATCCCGAGTTTGAGGCGCTTTGGTTGGACGCCATTTTCAGGGAAAGTGCGCAGAAGATGTTTGGATCGTGCCGCAAGAGAATGTTTGCGGGCTGCCCTTGCGGCCTTTGACAGTCGAACATGAGGAATGCGGTCACCGTTGAAAAGGCTTCGATTGGCCCTTTGGATTCTTCAGTACGCTCAGTGACCATGGGTCAAAACCCCGTACAGTGAACATCCCAATCCCCACTAAAATAGGTTCAATGGAGTACCCCAAAATGGGATCCCAAAACGGTTTTAACCCACAGCCAAGTGGACTCAACTTGCGCCCGTCTCGCCGCGAGTGGCTTTTGGTCTCACTCGCCTGCACAGGTCTTGCCGCTTCTGGGCCAAGAGCCCGCCCGGCGCAAGACTTCGCCGAGTCGCCGGAGGAGTTGTGGCGCCCAACAACTTTAAGCCGAAAAGAGCCACGGGGATTCGCCATGGAGCATCTGGCTGCTCAAGAAAAGTGGTACCAAGTTTTGGCTGCCCCTTGGATGGAAACCAAGACCAGATGAATAACCCTGGCTCTTTGATTTTGAGCCACACCCGTCTTGGAGTGTGCATCTTCACAGTGTGAGTCTTGAAAGGTTCTGTTCGCTTGAGTTGCTACAAGTGCAGCAGAAGAACTGGTTGCATTACCAGCCTGGGCATGGTTTTTGAAAGCTTCGAGGCTTCCTGAACTTGGGTGTGGGTCAAAATTCAACCAGGAATTGGACCGCAGATCTTCATGTGTCCTGCCAGGGTTCCATGTTCTTGGGAGCCATATTTGGAAGCCATCCAGGCAAAAAAACTGTTGGCATGGGAACCCATGCCAGGCTTTGGGTGCTCGCAGCACAGAAGCGGCGAGACAAGATGCCCGGCATGCTCAGCACGGACGTATGCGCAGAATTGTTCGGCCTGAAGACATGGTTGTTGGGAAGCATTTTGTTACATGTTTGCTTATTGTGGTTTAGTGGTTGAAATCCAACCACTTAACTGCTAAAAACATAATTGTTTGCTCCTCTTCCAACGTCAACCAAGAATAATTCGAATAGGTGTCCTTTTTGGTTGTTTTGGTAGAAAAATAGATGGCGATTTCTGGTTTGCCTGGTGGCTTAATAATCTACCAGGTTATGAATTGTTCGGCCTAAAGAACCCTGCGCAGTGCAGTGAACATGCAATTGAACACATGGAAGCACCTGCTTGCTTTGTGGCGGGGTTTTTACTCATTCAGGTTGAGTTGGGGCTTGAGGGCTGGGTGGCACCATCTTATTCATGTTGATCTGGGTCAAAATCAAGCCACCAGGGGACCGCAGGTTTTAGTCTTTGTTTCCATTTGCCAAGGTTCCATGGTTCCATTTCGGGCACCTATTTTTGACCCACAGCCCTCTTATTCATGTTGATTCAGGGCCATTCAGGCGGCAGGGAACCAGTCTGCAATTTGCTGGACCTTCAGCGTGACTTGGCTCTTCAAATCGGAGGTGGCCTTTTGGCTACAAGTACCCGAGCAGTGGAGGATCAAAGGATGAGATCTCCACCATTGGGCTGTCAGCTCTCAAAACGCGTGGCCCAGTCCAAATTCGTCCGGCAAGAGCTCAGTGCTTGCGTGCTCAGTGCTAACATGCCCAGGTCACAGCCAGCGATAGGACCTGGCAAGGATCGGCTACAGGCAGGAGCCCCAGAAAGCATGCGGAAAAGGGGCAGGGGTGCGTCGCGGCTGGGTTGGTTTGCATGTGTTGGTTGATGCCAATTTGGCTCTGGTTGTCAACACCGTTTTGGGATCCCCTTTTTGGGGATGGGTGAATTCACCACCCATTTTAGGGTTCCTATTTTAGTGGTTGGATTGGGTCCCGTTCACTGGGGGTACGGGATTTTGACCCACCCAACTTAAGGGCTGTCACCCAGTACCGCAGACCCCTCTTCCATGATGTATGTTGCTTCGTTTGTGTTTGCTGTCTGTGTCTGCCTGTCTTTTGCTTGTCTGCCGCCGGTCTGTTTGTTCTAGGGGTTGATTCCGATACCATTATTTTCAACAATTATTCTTTTCAAAAGCCGATTGCTGTTTCCCCTGGGATTCTGATGCTTTTCTGAAAAGAATCGGATCCGAAGTGTCCCCGAGATTTCTGTGTCTTTCAATCAGTCTCTTAGTTTGCCGCCTGCGTGGGTTCAAGCGAAGCGCGCAGGGTCGCGCCGGGAAACACGGTGAGACTCGAGCTGGAAATATGCTCTTGGTTCATAGATTCTGAGAGTTTTTGTATTATACCCTGGGATTACAATTTTGGAGAAATGACCCAGAATGGTTCAAAACACGGTTTTATCCGGAGATGTGCCTAAATGGGGGTCAATACCCAGTGGGTGTATTCCCAGAATACAAAAGCCCTTAGATAGAAGGTTGGCCCTGGCAGTGGAGATGGCTTTGTCGTTGAGCACGTACGAGCTTATAGGCTGTGGATGAGAAGGAGCCATGCAATGCGCGCTCTGTAGGGTTGTTGGTCGGTCTGCCTTTCGTTCCTAATTGAGCAAACTTCTTTAATGGGGTACCCCCAGGAGAAAGACACGATATTATGAGAGATGGGGTTTCGGGTCGCACTTTCCTGACACCCAGGAGAAACAATGGCCATGGTTCAAAACCAATGGTACTATTTTGGGATAGGTGCACCCATTTTAGAACCTATTTGAGTGGTTGGATTGGGTCCCGTTCACTGGGGGCTAACCGATTTGGGTTTTGACCCATGGCCAAATATTCAACGTGTTACAGGCCGAGGGGAGCGGTTGGCTTTTTTGAACGGCCCAGGACACCGGCGAGAAGGGGAAGACACCCCTCCACATTGCTGTGATGGCGGGGCAGTCCATAGGCAGGAAATCGAGCGTATTTGACAACCTCCTTTCGCCCCCCCCCCCCCCCCACCCCACACCCCCCGCCAACCGGTTCCATGTTAATTGGTGGGGAGGGTACTTGATGGGATTTGGATCTGGGTGCTTTTCACAGTTGTGTTGCGTTATGTTGGCGAAATGGTTCCCCCCCCCCCCTGCGGCAAGATTGCACGGCAGTTTGGCTTGGGCTTGTTGTCTTCTCCCCACACCCCACACCCCACACCCCACACCCCACACCCCACACCCCACACCCCACACCCCACACCCCTCACCCCACACCCCACACCCCACCCCACCCCACACCCCACACCCCACCCCACACCCCACACCCCACACCCCACACCCCACACCCCACACCCCACACCCCACACCCCACCCCACCCCACTCCACTCCACCCCACCCCACCCCACCCCACCCCACCCCACTCCACCTCACCCACCCCGCCCTACCCACTCCACCTCACCCGACCCCGCCCTACCCACTCCACCTCACCCGACCCCACCCTCCAATGTGACTCCTGGAGCTTCACTTGCTCCCGTTCCTCCCCAGCCCTTCCGCAGGCCACTTCCGGGTCTTGAGCAAGCTAGTGGAGCTCAGAGCTCCAGCCTCGAGACGAAAAGGAGCCGAAGGGAACCCCACCCGAACGGCGCCCCCAAGCAACCCCCCGAACGGACCCAAAGGACCCAAAGGATCAGTTACCAACACAAAGAGCCAAAGGGGGGTCGATAGAACCACTGTGACTTACGGAGTTTCATCCTCCAATTTGGGTCCCAAGGCCATTCATTGATTGGGTTGAACCCTGTGACTGGAAGGTGACAACGATACCCTCACTCTGGTCCTTGGATCTCTCTGCTGGTAAGGCAAACACCAACGCCCGGGACCGCCACAACGTGACGCCTTTGATGCAGGCGGCTGCGGAGACTTACACCGAGGCAGGCATGCAGGGGTTGAAAGTTGGGAGGGTCTAAGACAAGACGCAAAAGGGAGTGTTTCTTCGCACTTGCTGGTTCTCAGTAAATGAGGGAAGGACCCCCAGAAAAACCATCCCTTGTGGCTTCCCTTCCGGTTCATTCAGAACACCCTGGCTGATTCCCTGAGCACCAGCAAGCAAACTGTCGCACCAGGGTTTTGATCTCAACTTCGAGAATTTTCGGCTGAAGGATGTTCTGGCATGCGCACCAGCTCGTGCAAAGTGCAGTGTTGGTGCTATAGTGAAGGTCCCCATTCCACGCTGCGGATTGTGTGACAGCCTTTGAGTGTGCGGGACAACTTAGAATCGTTCTGCCTCTTGATAGTTCTGGTTTGCGGAGAAGCTGAGAAGTATTGTACTTGAAGTTCCACGACTTTAGCACAGAATGGATCCATTCGCAAGTAGCTTACCAGACTGCAGACCAGCAGCTCTTTGATAGGCTGCTTTTCCGAAGATCATCAGCTACAGAGAGAACGAGGGTGAGTCTTGTTGAGGTTGACCCCCAAAATGGCACAACGGCTTTCCTCGTGGTTGCCCTTTAAACCCCCCCAAAAAATATCTTCAGCACGCTTTCAATCCTTTGAGGCAGTGGAGCGTATGCTTCAAGAGCCAAGCACAAAGGTTGGGGAGCAGGCGAGGCTGTCGGGAGTCGCAGACATTTGCTGAAGGGTTCCGATGCCTGTTTCGGTGCGTCGGGGGTTCACCCTGCGTTCTTGTTCGGGTTTCAGGTCGCCAATTGGTTTGCATGGTGGTTTGGATTTGAGAAACTCGGGTCTTGAGGGCAAAGCGGAAACCCCGGGTGCCAAACCGCCGATGAGTGGACAGCAACTTCTGCCCTCAAATGTGGTGCCAAGATAGCGGTTCCCCTGGCTCAATTGTGGCCAGAGCCGGGCGCAAGAAACGTAAGGCATGTTTGCCTCCTTGCCGCTTGCCAGGCAGTCACATTGAGCAACAGCCTCAAAACTGATTTGGGCAGATGATGGTTAAGGGAGAGTCCCAACCAAATGGGCGCGAAGATCCGCCCCTTTCATCCTTCACGCGATTTGGGGAGACGGGACTCACATGCCTCGATGCCACTCTGGCATGCCGGCGCTAGGATCACAATGGCCGAACTGCAAGGGCCTTGGAATCACTGCACACTGCACATGAGCCACAGTCAAAACCCGGGTAGATGAAGGTGAGTAAGGGACAATCCCCTTCGTCTTCTTAATTCTTGAAGCACGGTTCTGGGTAGACCATTTTAATACCGGGTTCTGATTATGACTCCCATGGGGGTTGATTCACATTCTCTTCGGCTGCCCAAAATAAGCATGGGCAGTTTTTTTCCCATGCGAAATTTCAATGTTCAGCGGTCTTTTTTCCCATGCTCATCCCATGTATAGCACCTTTGATCAACCGGCATGCCATACCACGACCATTTTGCTATGAAGGGAGTCTTCCTCACACTCCCGTCGGCCGTGAAGAAAGCACGCCGCATTCCACGGATGCACTGCAGGAGGGCGGCGACACAGCCTGAAACGTTTCAGCTGCCCAGAGTTCGCAGGCACAGGTGTCCTTAGGTGAGCCTGGTTAAACATCGATGGGTTCCACTGGCTTAGATAGGTTTTGTGCCCCATTTCCCAGGGAAGCCCAGCGATTTTTCCAAGAGGCCTATGGTTTGAACCCCTGTTTATTAATATGGGGGCGTCCAGGGGAACACCCACATATGAATAAACCGGGGTTTATTCATCCGAAATCAACATGTCTAGGGTCGCAGCGAAGAAAAGCCTTGGCCAGGCGCCGAAGGCGCTTCGGCGCTGATACGCCACGCGCTGAAACGGCCGAGTCGCCGAGGCGGCGGATTTGGCCAAGTCCACGGCTCTGCGGATGGTGCTGGAAAGGGCCCCTTGGCAGCGACGTCGGTGGCGCCGGGTTTTAAGGAACCACTTGGTTTTTTTTGGGGGTTAGTTAAAGGGAAAGCAACACCGAAGCCTTGTTTGGAGGGTCGCCCCTGTGGTGGGGGTTGTAAAGAGGCAAGGGAAACCAAAGCCATGTTGGGTCCCCCCTCAAAAAAACGACACACCCACCTTTGCGCCTTCTGATTTGCCTTTGGCCAGCTTGGTTCGAGCTCCTGCATGTTTTTCTTTGGTTTAAAGAAGGTGACAACAGCCAGCGGATTCCCGCGCTGGGTTTTCTGCAGTCGCGACTCAGCGCAGCAGGAACCAGGCCCACCTGGTAAAACTTGAAGATGTTCTCTCCTGAGCTGTGCTTCTGGGTTGTCCTGTCCATTTAGGCTTTAAACCTGTTGCAATAAGATTATTTGTTACCTTTGACATCCAGTGAGACAATCCTGTGGGGTTACCACCATTCTGAACTATGATTTGGACCCGCCATTGTTTGCGGGTACCCTTTTTGGGGTGGTTTTTTCTCAGGAAACCAAAGGGCGGTGATTTGCCCTTGGTTTGGATTCGGATCTGAACGGGCCCCTGGCTTTGGTAGAGGGCAAATGGGGTAAACCCCTCCGGAAGACCACCGGCTTGCCCCTCCTGGACCACCAAACCACCGGGCTCCAAACCACCAATTCTCCTGAACGGTAAACAATGGTGGAAAGCAAAAGAACCCAAGCATTGCTTAAATGGTGGTACTGACTCCCAGGGTAAAGTGCGGACATTGGACTCAGCCTGTGAAGCCTTCACTTGGAAAGACACTCGTTTTTGCTGTCGGAGCACCTTCCTGCTTGGGCAGCGGCAGTGGCCGAACTTCAGAATTGGACCTGTGCCGGGATGTATGTTGTCACGGACAATATAGGGCCGCGGGCCAAAACCAATGGTACCATTTTGGGGTAGGTGCACCACCCATTTTCGTCTACTTTAAGTGGTTGGATTGGGAGGTTCACTGGGGGCTAACCGATTTGGATTTTGACAAAGCCAAATAGCCAAACGGCACACAGAAAAAAAAACCTTGGATCGAGCCAAGCCGGAATCAAGCAAACCCAGGGTGGCATGCAGACCAGTATAGGCTGCAGTAGCTGCATCGGCTGCGCACACCAAGGGATACCGGCTTGTTTTGAACCGAACAGCTGAAAGAACTTTGACAGCTGCGGCCAAGTTTCGATGTTCAGCCAATGTAACCTTTGTAGCAGAACTAGTAAACAAGCTGCGACACAGCGGCAGTTACGTGAGACCTAAGGTCGTCTTCGTTCCTGAGTTGCTATTGTTCGTGTCCAATGGTTATGACCCACTGGGAAATGGCCATGGGTCATAACCTATGCCTCCATTTTGGGGCGGATGAACACCCATGTGCCACCTATTTTGATGTTCACCAGGGGTACAGGGTTTTGGGTCAAAATGAAACCACCAGGCCAGCGCAGGTTTTAGTCCATGTTTCCATTTACCGATCGGGCAAGCCATTTTGGGGTTACCCCATTTTTGACCACCACCGCCAAATGGCTGTGGCTCAAAAAACCGATACCCCCACTGGAACCCTGATAAGTGGAATGGACCAAAACCTGCGTAACCCCTCCTGTTTAATTTTGAGCCATACCCATATGAATTTTGGTTGGAACCCCCAAAGTGGTTGGAACCCTAGCTCTTTAATTTTGAGCCACTCCCAAATCTCTACATTTGGCGTTTCTGTCGTTCAAGCGCGCTCTTCGGTCTTCAGCACGATGCTCTTCTCTCATTCCGAGGCGATGGTGCAAGAGAGGACGGGGCTCTTTCTCACGGGTGGGAAACATGTGGCTGTGGCTCCAAAAACATGTGCTAAAATGGCACCTTGGTAAATGGAACCAAAGACTAAAACCCGCGGTTTGCCCTAGCTCTTAATTTTTCAGCCACACCCAAATGTTACATTGCTTATGGTTGAGTGGTTGAAATCCAAATCCACTGAACTGCTCAACAGTCGAATTTGTTCCCCCCCTTCCAACGGCAAGCGACTTTGGTCACGAGTCTCAGGGCCCTAGAGCCATCCGTCGCCGGAGCTGCCGCTTCTTTTTGCGCGCGAGGCGGCCTCGCGCGCAAGAAGAAGCGGATGGGGTTGGCATCCGTCTACCGAGAAAGACGCATGAATGTTGGCGTCGTCTTTCTTCTTTGACACATATTTTGTGGCTCAAAAGTAAAACGCCGGTGTGAGTCTTTGCTTCCATGTACCAAGGGACCGGCCATTTGGGGGATTCGGTTTTTGGAGCCACAGACACATTGAACAGATGGCCATGTTCTGCGCAGAGCATTGATTTCTCATGGGATAGCACGGGATCTGCAGGACTGGCCTACAGCGGAAGAGTATTGGTTTCTCTGAGCGCCCACAGATCCGGGCCTCAGACCCGGATGTGGCCATGCTGTGGCAGCGTAGTCTCATGTTTTGTGTTTTCTTCTTCTCACTTCCTGAGTTCATGAACTTTAAACTTTTTGGGAAGACCATTTTAGTGGTAAATATAAAGTTTGGATTTTTTGGGCCATCCACTCAGTTCTTGTGCTGTGAGCAACGCATCATTGTATAGATCACTGAGACCTTTCATGGCGGTGGGTCGTAAAAATAGGATAACCCCAAAATGGGAACCCTGGTAAACGGAAACATGGATTAAACCTGTGGTCCGATGATTTAATGTTGACCCATAACCTCATGATATTTTTTGGGCGCTTTGGGGGCAGAACACCACCGCAGCTTCGGAAGTATTTGCTGAAGCAGTCTTTCCCTCGCACTGAGGCGGAGGACGGCGAGAATGACGCCGTCTTTCGAGTCAGGAGGGCGGGATTTTGGTTTTCCGTTTCGGTGGCGTTAATTGGCAATGCGGGTTTGTCTTTCTTTGGTGGTGTCCCTTTTGTTTCATGGTTTCGAAGGGAAACCAGAAGGAAGACCCAAACCACTTTTGTGGTCTGAGTCCTAAAAAGAGACACGGCCATTGGCCAAGCTGAGCCGTTCTTTTGGACTGGGCTGGGGAGCGGATCTAGGCAAGACTTGGACTGATCTGGGGAGTTGGCGGAATGAAGCGGTTGAAGTGGACTCAGAAAGGAAGCCATGGGAAATCGATGGTTCCTCAGGGGTGGTTGGTCCAGAGAGAGAGCAGAGAGAGAGCAGAGAGGAAGCATCTTGTGCCTTCTGGGAAAGCAAGCTGCGCACAGGATGGAGAAGCTCCCAACAAGAATGGCCCTTGAGGCTGGCATTTGATGAATGTTTTGCGGTCACTCGGAGCGCAGAAGTTCAGATGTGACAACGCAGGTGTTGGAGAACAAGATCCAGATACTCCTCAAGAAAGTTGTGGTGAAGCCTGTCCACATGGAGGCCGCTCAGACCTCAACCAACTTAAACACGAGGTTTGGATGGACCACTCGTGCTGCCAGTTGTTTGGCTTTGCAATCTACGTGTGGCATTGAATTTTGATAGGGAACCACCTCGAAAGTGGTGGGGGGACTTGAATCCCAACCGAAAGATGTCCATCGAAGGGCCCCTGATAGATAAATAAGCAAACACATGCCCATGTAGCATTCCATTACCAGGCCAACCAAACCCTCTGCCGGAAGACTCAGAAACAACCCAAACATATCAGACAAAATGACTCAGACCAAACTCAGCTCCACACTCAGCCTGAAACTGAAGTGGGGGGATCGAGTTCAAGGCTGAGTTTTTTCCCAGCTTGGGATGTTCCAGATTGAGTTGTTTCTTGACGTTGCTTGAATTTTGGGACTTGTGGCTCTTGTGGTCGAGATCAGGTCACAAAAACAGGAATAGTTTAGGCTTTTGTGGTTTTGCGGATTTCAGGGCTCGGGTTTGTGGCTAGGAGGTTTCTTCTACATGTTCAGGGCCATGTTTAAGTGTCAGTCATTGATTTTTTCGTGTGAGTTGGACAGAATAACGTATGGCTGAGGGTCAAAACTGTTTTGGATCCCATTTTGGGGTAGGTGCACCACCCATTGTAGTCCATTTTAGTGAGGATTGGGATGTTCACTGAAAGTACGATTTGGATTTTGACCCACAGCCATATAATCCCCGTTGCCAACATCAGGTCTGAAGTGCCAATTGGAGATCTCGGGCTTGCGTTCAGAATGGTGAACAGCACGGGCCACGTTCGTCGGCGCCCTAGGCCCTCCCAAGGCCCCGTGAGATCCCTGGTCCCTGTCTCCCGCCCTCGGTTTGAGCCATAGGTGTCCTGGTTTAGATGGGCTTTGTGCCCCATTTATCGGGAAAACCCATCGATTTTTTCCAAGAGGCCGCCTATGGTTTGAACCCCTGTTTATTAATATGGGGGCGTCCCTGGCTTTAGTGGGGATTTCTCACTTTTGGAGGGGAACACCCCCATATGAATAAACCGGGGTTTATTCATCCGAAATCAACATGTCTCGGTTTGAGCGCTTTGGCATCTTAGGTGGTAACCAATGGTACCATTTCGGGCTAGGTGAATTCACCACCCATTTTAGTGTGTTTTCGTGGTTGGATTGGGTCCGGGGGGCTAACCGGTTTGGGTTTCGACCCACCAGGTGGTCATGGATCCCATCATGGGCCGACCCCGCGGGCACTGCTACTTGGACTTCCTGGACTCCAGGCGGGCCCATGATGGGATAGGCCCAGCCGGAAATCCTGGAATTTCAAGTGAGCCACAATCAAACCCGGGTAGCTGAAGGTTAGGGTCTCTCCCCTTTAAAAATACACAGCCATATCAAGCCATGAATCATTTTAGGGAATGCTGGAAGCTCATTCTCACATTCAAAAAAGAAAGAAAAGCAAGTGAGTCATAAAAGCCAAGCCCTTTCTAAGGCCTCAAGTTCAGGAAATTCGCCCCCCCCCCTCCCCCCCTCCCCCCCTCCCCAGTTCACACTTGAGTCATAATCAAAACCAGGTACCAAAATGGTCGACCCAGAACCATGTAAAAAATTAACAAGGAGGCCGCAGCTATTTGGGATTTTCCCCCCCCCTCCCAAAATAAGCTCGGGCGATATCCTCAACAGCACCACACCCTCCCAGAATCCCTGCGGAACGCCCCGGGACCATCCTTACCGCCAGTGTTGCTGAGGATGCCGCCTTGTAACTTTCTAAAGCAAAGCTACGAGTGACAGCGCAATCTCGCCCTGATCGGGGCCCGACGGCGCAATCGGGGCCCGATCGGGGCCCGACGGCGCAATCGGGGCCCGATCGGGGCCCGAGGTGCAATCGGGACCCGATCGGGGCCCGACGGTGCAATCGGGGCCCGATCGTCACCCCAGCCACCCATATTATAGCTCAACGCCGGTTTTCCTTAGTATGCGGATTGCAACTGTATCTATAGCAAAACTCAGCAATGCCAGCTTGGTAGAGTTGACGGGGCCCGACTGAGTCGGGCCCCGATCAGGGCGCGATGGCGCAATCGGGGCGGGCCCAAGCGGTGCAATCGGGCCCCGACAGTGCAATCGGGCCCCGACCTAGGCCCGGTGAACGTTCTCATGCAACTCAGCGTGAAACTTTGTTGGAACCTTTCCTCAGGGCTGCCCCATAGCTCTTGCAGAACCTGGTGGCAACCTTGTGGAACGTTTTTGGAACCTTACCCTGAACTGGCAATTGTTCATGTTTTTAAAGTTTTTTTGCATTTTGCATTTTTCCAGTTTTTCGCGGGCATTTGTTGCTCGATTTATGTCGCTGAGGTTGACTTTAGAGAAGTTAATTCTTTGGGTTTCAAGTTGTTTTTCGGTGGGAAGGGGGGGGGGCAGGACGGGACAATAATAATGCGCCTGAGTGCCCAGTGTTGCGAAAGGCTTGATTCCTGCAGCATCGTTTTTCGCTGGCTGCTCGCCTTCGGAGAGTCGGAACGGAATTATCTTTTTTCATCCCGTTTGTTGTTTGAGGGCTCGGGGGCTTGCCCCGCCCCACCCCCCCTCCTCCCAAGCCCATCAATGATTGACGTTGTTGCGTTTGCTTGCGCGGGTTCGGTGGCTTGCCCCGCCCGGCCCCCTTAAACAAATCCTTTCGCTGGTTTTGGCGGCATGCCCCATCCAGCAATAGGGTGCCCAGCTCCCCCTTCCTCCAAAGTGAAGCCCGCCAACGATTGAAGTTGTTGCATGTGCTTGTGCTTGCGGGTTCGGTGGCTTGCCCCGCCCGGCCCCTACGCCTTCTGCAAGCAAGAGGGAAGGCGTCTCAGGGCAAAAGAGTCTCACAGGAAAGCTGTGAGCTGACGAACGGACATGCGTGATGCGACGCAAGAGCCGCCCAAGTCGTATGTTTCTTGCGGATCATATTTTTCAAGCGGATAGATGTGTTTTTGCAGAGCAGATATGCTTGTTGCGGTGTGCGCTTGCGGGTTCGGTGGCTTGCCCCGCCCGGCGCCCACAATGACTTACGCTGGTTTCGGTGGCATGCCCCATCCAGCAGTAAGGATTCAGAAGGGGCGCTTCTGAAACCGCCCTTTTCCGGAAGCGTTCTCAGAAAGGCTTTCGTGTGTAAGGGCGGCTCGAAAAACAAGACTTTCGTGGGAAGTCTGCCTGCAAGCTGCGGGCGCGCGCATTGTTACTACCAGACTTTTAGTGGGGCCTGGCCCCACGCCAAATCTGGACTAGTGACCTTAAAGTTTTCCTGATTGTGTGGTTACACAGACTCAATGGCGACAGCTCAGAAGGCAGTTGTTTTCTATTGCTTCCAAGGTTTGGTCACTGCGGCCCGCTTGCAAAACCGTGCTTGGCAAGTCAAGACGCGCTGTGTTCGCTTGGCGGCTCTTAGACAAGTTAGCAGGCGCGGCCGTGTTTCGGTGGCTTGCCCCATCACTGGCGTGAAAGCTGCAGCCATGTCGATTGCGCTCGTTGCTGGCGTCATCGTAGGTTTCTTCATGGGCGTGGTTGTGCCCATTGGCGGGAAGGGCCTCAAAGGCGGCAGCGCGGCGGGCAAGGGTCAGACTGACGAGCAAGGCAGCCGCAGCAGCGACGGCGTTGGCGGCTTACCTCAGCCAGAGGCCACTGGGAATCCACTTGCGGGAGGCAAAGTAGGCTCTGGTGGCTTGCCCCAGCCTGATTCGGCGGACCCTGTGCCGCAGAGCGGCGAGATCGTGATTGAATGCCAACGGGCCGCCAGCGAGTCCAAGGCCGGACCTGGACATTCTTGACGACGGTGTTGCTAGGCAGCTGCAAAACTGCGTCGCGCAGTAGCTTTTGCGTTGGTTAGCCTAGCTGGAAGTGTTTCGGCGGCTCCTTGCCTCCTTTGTTGCTCGCGCAGGGCTCGCAGTGGCAGCCGATGGACGACTTCTTTGTGTATGAGGAGCAAGGTGGCCAAACGCAGCCGGAGCCTGCCTCACAGGGCCGGCCACGCTTGCTCCTCGCTGGGTGCCTTGCAGCATGCCCAGAGGTTTGTCAAAGCCTTGTTGTTCACGACTGGCTGGCGCAAATGCAGCGCTACGCGTTGCAAAATTTTGGATACCTGTAAGGCAAAGCAAGTTGATCATGAGACCGGGGCCCAGCAAGTTAGAGAGAATGAGAGACAAAGAACGGGAGGCAGAACCACACAGAGGAAATTTTAATAAAAACAACCAACCATGGAAGTGAGAAAGGCAGAGAATTAAAATTACTATGAGCGAAAGGGGCTGGGGGGCAGGGACACGGGGGAGACACAAACATTCAAGGCCTATCCGTTTTATGTAAACTGAAAAAGGGTGCGTCGGGGAGGAATGCGCAGGGCGCAGAAGTCAGTATCGCGTGTAAACCATAAAAGTAGTTCCCATGGAGACCCCGGGTTGTTTCACTTGTCAAACGCAATGCTTGGCCCATTTGCCCCCTAAAGCTGGTTGACGTTTTGCAGGGATTGCGCCTGTGGGCTTGGTGGCTTGCCCCGCCCAGGCTGGCCATGCTCGCTGCGGCTTGCGCTTGCAAGCTCGGTGGCTTGCCCCGTGTGGGCCCCCTATTCAATTCGCTCGTGCTGTATTGCGCAACAGCATGCAGGACAGCATTACGCTTGAAAGGACCCAGGTGTATCAAGGAACAAAAATAATTATGCCGCCAGCAAGGCTGTCAGAACGTTTGGTAAGCTGACAATCGCCAGTCTATCCGCTACACTATTTAATGACAGGTTTCTGACCTCTTGCTCCCTGAAATGTTCGTTACGCAGGGAATGCGCTTGCGGGCTTGGTGGCCTGCCCCGCCCTGTTCAAAGGGTGGGTTTGCGGGGTCGGTGGCTTGCCCCGCCCGCCCCCCACCAGGAAATTCCTTGGTTTTGTTTTCATCGTGGGGGGCTTCTATAATATCATTATCGCTTGTCCATGCTCCTTTTTCAGAGCTTAGGACCCTGGGAACGTTGGCGCTGCGATCTAGTGGGCAGGCACTACTACGGCAGCCCGTCTTGCCGCGGAATCATGGAGAACCGCGCTGCTGACATCTTGCCCAGGCGCCGCTGTTACCTGTGTTTCCCCAGTCAGCAAGGCAGGGAGTGGTTAGCTGAGGCGCCGTGGCATTGCCCCCCCCCCCCAGTACTGCACAGTAAGGCACGGTGGCTTGCCCCGCCCTGGAAGTTTGTTTGGCTGAGCTCAAGCTGGCAGAGCTATATGGCAGATGAGAAAAAGCGACGTCGAATCACGCAGTTGGAGTGGGAGCTGGCAGTCTGCGGGGACACCGTTGCATAGCACGCCGTGTTGAAAGTTGTTACTTACAGTTTGCTGCGTTGCTGGTTATGTTGCAGCATTGCTAGCTTCACGGGCCCCATGTTGGATTTACTTTCTATCATCCGAGAGTTTATTTGCTCACAAGGTTACTTAGCACAAGCCCTCTTCGCGTGCGTCCAACATGCCAGCCAAACGGAAGGCCGCCGCCTTGGAAGCCCCTCCGCGGACGGAGGTGTGCCCTTCGACCCAGAGCATGCTGACCAAGATACAGGTGGCAATGAAAGAGATGACAGAGCACCAGGTTTTCCAGGGCCTGGAAACACGAGATGCGCCCAAAACCGGAAGCAGCAAATATGCCACACAGGAGCTTGCTAATTTCTTGGTTAAACGGTGCGACGCGGCAGTCGCAATACCCAGCTGCTTACTTTCTTCCATACAGTGTGAAATCAAGGATGTCGCTAGCCTCAAATTATGTTTTTTTGGCGGGGCCCAACTCACTGCAGCTCGCAGGAGCCATGGAAGAAGTCGGCCATGTCGGCAGCATTCAACGCAGGCTCCAAGTACCAGTGTGCTGTTAACTTCATGTGGCTGGATCATTTCATTTTGGCTTCGCCACATGTTCCGGTCAACGAAGATAGCGTGCAGGGGCTCATCGGCCAGTACTTTACAAAGCCGAGCTCGATTCCCGCAGATGCTCCAGTTCATGTGGTGGCAGGCGACGTGGCCAAGGCAGAGCACGCAGTGGAGCAGAAGAAGCTTCGCATTTTGTCCCCGCCCGAGATGGTGATGGCGGTGCTGCTGGCGGTGCAGCGGGACGTAAAGACCAGCGACATGGATGTGCTGCACGAGTGGGCAGAGGCGCTGGCAGCTTGCCCCTGTGTTTTCCACAAGATTGATAACGAGGACGAGCGCCACATTGCGTCTCTGCAATTGAGGGAGAACATCTCGCAGAATTTCGCCAGCATGCGTATGAGCGCTCTACAGAAAGTCTTTGA